GGAGAGTCATTAGGTCGGACAATCAAGTTCATCTACCTTTGTGGTTTTGGTGAAGATTTCAGACAGTGTGACATTTATTATTATTATTATTTTTAGTTTTTTTGTGAGGAAGACCAGCCCTGAGCTAACATCCGTTGCCGGTCCTCCTCTTTTTGCTGAGGAAGACTGGCCCTGAGCTAACATCTGTGCCCATCTTCCTCTGCTTTATATGGGATGCCGCCACAGCATGGCCTGACAAGCGGTGCATCGGTGCGTGCCAGGGATCTGGGCCTGCGAACCCTGGGCCACTGAAGCGGAGTGCATGAACTCAACCGCTGCGCCACCGGGCCGGCCCCAATATTTATTATTTTTGTACATGATGATGCTAAACCCAGCCTCACACAGTCCTGATGCTTAGCTCTATGACACAGGGCTCCATCTGCCCTGCTCTTTGGGTCTAGATCCAGCTCTCCAGTTCTGTCTGGGCAAATTCAAGATGATTCAACTGATTTCACTGAATGTGCTTACCAGCAGATGCATGATGTTCTCCCACCTCCCCAGGGCCACAGCATCCCTGTTCCTCCTGACACAGATTCACTAAGCATCTTACCAAGTCATCTCCCAACCATTCAAATCACAGAGGAAGTAACTGCAAACCTTGGATACGGAAACATCAACGTGTGGGGAGGAGGGGGAGAGGGAGTGGGAGGTACTGAGCAGGGAGGGGATGAGAGCAGGTCCCCAGCAGCCCCAACCCCCAACAGACAAGGAAAGCTTCCAGATTGATCAGTTTCAATTCCGACTTTATTCAAAGAAGGGGTTCCAATGTTTTGTGTGTGTGTGTGTGTGTGTGTGTGTGTGAGGAAGATCAGCCCTGAGCTAGCATCCATGCTAATCCTCCTCTTTTTGCTGAGGAAGACCAGCTCTGAGCTAACATCTATTGCCAATCCTCCTCCTTTTTTTTCCCTTTCCCCAAAGCCCCAGTAGATAGTTGTATGTCATAGCTGCACATCCTTCTAGTTGCTGTATGTGGGACGTGGCCTCAGCATGGCCGGAGAAGCGGTGTGTCGGTGCGCGCCCGGGATCCGAACCCGGGATCCGAACCCGGGCCGCCAGTAGCGGAGCGCACGCACTTAACCACTAAGCCACGGGGCCAGCCCAGGGGTTCCAATGTTTTAAAGTTTGAAAACTCCCCTCTAGTTTTATTCCCTTTCATTCAAATGAGGAAACCGAGGTCCAGAAAGTGAAAGGGACTTGCTCAGGGTCACACAGCCAGCCAGGGATGAACCCAAATGGGCCTCCTGTTTCTGGATTCCCAGGCCAGTCTCCTCCTGTGTAGTATGTCCGGGTGTTGCCACCCCAATAGTTCAGATATGGAGCAGCCAGGCTCAAAGGCAGAAAAGGCAATTCCAACAAGGACTCCAAAATGTAACGCCCAACGTGAGCACCAGGACGGCGTGCTGTGAACGCCGAGACGAGCCTGGATTAAGAGCCTGACCCCTGGGGACAGGGCAGCATCTTCCTGACACAGTTGCGAGACCATCCTGAGGAGCAGCACCACGGCGTAGAAGGAAGCTGAGGAGGGCCAGGCGCCTCCTGCTGGTCCTTCTCAGAGGCCTTCCAACCTCGGGCAAGCGCTTTTCTTGCAGAGCCTGACTTCTTCGCTTGTAAAGGCTGAGGGACATTCACACTCGCCCTGCCTGCCGTCTGGAGTTGGAAAGCGACCAGAGGTGCCAAAGGGCTTCATGAACTTTAAGGACCAACTTCATGTGACATCCCAATTCTGACTTTCAGAACATTTTAATCACTTTAGAGGATCTATTTTTTTAGCCCAGATATTAAATACTTTCTTTCTTTCTTTCGTCATTAAAAAAAAAAAAAAAGAGCCAGCCCTGGTGGTCTAGCTGTTACGATTCAGTGCTCACTCTCACCACGGCAGCCCGGGTTTGTTTCCCAGTAATGGAACCACACTACCCATCTGTCAGTTGTCATGTTGTGGTGGCGGTTACACAGAGAACTAAAACGAACAACTAGGATACACAACCATGCCCTGAAGCTTAACAGGAAAGAAAGAAGCCTTGTTCCTGGATGAGATCAAAACATCTCTAAGTTAAATGTATTCTCCCACACTGTAATTCCACAGCCCAGAGAGAGCATCTGACCCCGTTTTTACAATTTGATGTCCAGAAGCCAGCTCTCCATTGCCCACCTGGTTAGAGAATGTTGGGCTTGTTAACAAGTGGACATCTTGGTCCCCAAACACCCAGCCAAGGGGCCGCTGAGTCTGGTAAAGTGTCCATGTAGGACTAAACCTCTTTACACTAGGAAAATGGCAGGAAGAGAAGAGCTAGAACCAGCCTTCACACCCTAGTATGAAGCAATGCCATTTGTTTGAGGGAATACTGTTTTAAAAAGAATGCTAAGACCACACTCCCTGTATTTTTTCCGTAGGGCCATCTTACTCTAGGATGGCAGGGCTCGAAGGAATATGGGTAACATCCAGTCCAAATGCCACATTCACAGGTGAAGAGACCGAGACCCAGAGAGGGGAGGGACCTGTCTGGGTCACACAGCAGTTAGAGGTCAGGCAGAGGGCAGCGGGACCCTCCCCGCTCCTCCTACAACACACTGAGTCACAGAGCTCCACTAATGAGTCAGAGACAAATGGGGTAGAGTCACAGCTGACACAGGCCGCGCTCCAGCTTCAGAATTCCAAATGTACCATGACGAGACCTTCCCTGGGAGGGAGGAGTTACAAAAAGAACTCGCACAGAGCAATTCACTTCAACAGTATAAAAAAGCTACATGCAGTCTGTTTTCCTAACGTCTGCCCTGCTAAAAACTACATCTGCATACGAATCCAGTTTGCATCTAATTTTTAAAAACATACAAAAAGGGTCATCCACAAACACAGTTTTTCCAGCTCTTCACAAAGCAAAATGATCCATGACTTGACTTCTCCCTCATCCTGTGATCAATGTTTCTAAGACCCTGGAAGAAAAGAGGGAAAAGAATTAGGGAAAAGAAGCCTGCTCTGTCACAACCAACTGGGTGTTAAACGGAAGGTGGGGGAAGTGATCTATAACTTTAAATCTCTCCCCAGCAAGCAGGGGTGCCGGTGGGGAGCAGAGGGCCCTGTGGGGGTCCAAGAAGTACATCTAAGACCAATGGGGGGACGTTTCAGGGAGGCAGATTCCAGCTTAATATGAGGAAGAACTTTCAACTACTGGAAAACCCAAAGATGTTTGTCTGGTGGTGATGAGCTCCACATCCCTGGAGGTACGCAAGTGAGAGCTGGCCAATTCTGCATGTTGTAGAGGGAACTCAAGAACAGGGTGGTGGCAATGGTCTTGAATTCCATGGTTCTCTGTGGCAGCCTTTTGAAAACTCATCTATAATAGACTATATTCATAGCCCAGATTATTTCTGTTCAAAAAAAAATATATATATATAGTTTTTAAGTGTGTATATATATATATATACTTTTTAACTATATATATATACTTTTTAACTATATATATATATACATATTTAAAACATGAAACATATTGTGTGTGTGTATATAAAACAGCCAAGTGTCAGAAAGGCAACTTTAAGAGCTGTCTCCTAACTCTGCTGAATTCCTATTTGAGGGTTTTGTACCTTGTATTTTCCTCCCGGTTCCTAGGAGCTCTAACTACTTGCATCCACCCATCCTCCAACCCCAATGCCACATCCTCAGTGAAGCCTTCCTGTATTTTCCCCAGTTCTAAGCCGCTTCTCTCGCCTCAAACTCATACACACCCCTTATTTCCTAAACTTTGCATTCCTTATAGTTTGATGACATTCACTTTTTGGTCTCTGTGCGTCCCCTACAGACCTGACGTGGGGCCTTGTACTCAGAAGGTGCCCAACAATAGTGCTAAATATGGAATAATATGGATTACAACCACAGCAAAATCCTTCTGCTTTTCATAAACTACTAAAATTGTTTCTAATTTTTCCTGCTCTGTTAAAAACTTGTCAGTTGGCCTTGGTGATGGTGCCTGTTCCCTACTGTCCCTTCCTCTGCTCCTGTAAGAGGATCATGCATCCCTGCCCTCGGCCTCCTGTGAGAGGAGCAGACTTCCCCTGACTCCGCTGACGCTGGGCGTGGCCGTGCGACTTGCTCTGGATGACGGACTTAGCAGATGTGACATATGCCACATCTGAGCAGAAACTTTAAATGAGACTGTGTGCTGGGCTCAGTCTCTTGCTCGTCCCCTCTGCCACCAGAAAGGATATATTCCACATTGGGGCTGCTCCTGCAGCTGGTCCCAATATGAGAAGACACATGGAGCAGAGCCACAGCCAACCTACAGCCACGACACCGAATGTGAGCAAGAGATAAATGTTGCTGGCTGTGAACCAGTGAGGTTTGGGGGCTGTTAAGCAGCAAAAGCTGGCTAATAAAGGGATTCGTTTCACTAAGTTCACAGCCCACCCGGTGGCCGGTGACAGATGCAACCCCAGCTCTCACCTGGGTGACTATGAGGACTAAGCCACCTGGCCAGGGGAGAGGTACTGCTAAGCACGTATAGTGTTGAGGACATGGACCCCAGGCCTGGAGACAGCAGAGCTGCCAACAAGGAAGAACCGGGAACTGACGAATGAAGCACAGACCGTCTAGTTTGCAGGCATGTTTTCACACGGGTGCTGTCACAGTGACAAGGTCTGCTCTCGGTGCCCTCTCTAGGAGGACTCGGAGGAAATGCTCCGTTCAGCCTCAGAAACAGAAAAAAACAACTGGTCTTTTTCACCTTACGGACACCCACAATGTTCACAGTTTTTGACTTTGCATGTGAGGTGGGAGGCCCAGAAGAACATACTAGAGAGTCTACCTGCTAATCGTAATATGCTCCTACTCTTGTTTTGCATTCCTCTGGTTTCCTCGATTTATGTGTTTTTCTTCTTTTTTATTACACATCTTATAAGCCATCTCAGTCTCTTGTGACACAGGCGTATAAATACTGAAAATGACTTAGAGCATGCACATGAGTCCGTCACACGCGGTCACCTAGAGCTGGGAAGCGGAGGACCTGGTGTTTACTCAGACCTGTAACCATCACCGTGCCGTGGGACTGGGCCTCTCCAACCGCGTTGGCTGAATGGCATTGGTACACTCCTTCATCTTCCTTCCTCAGAGGGTTGATCTAGAAACAAAACAGGCAGGCAGTTTATACAGTTATATATGGCACAGCAAAATCATTTCCTTATTTAGTTCTTAATGATACATCTGAACACTTGCTCCTTTTCAAAATGAGATAGAGCTCACTCTGTTTCTCTTCTTGCCTTGCCTGCCAGGAAAGAGTTAAATTTCCTTCTCAGCACCCTCTCTATCCTGGCTCTCATTTTAATGTTTCCTCTGCATTCCTGCCTTTTACTGTGAGCTACCTGGTCCTTTCACTGAAGGTGACAGGTATAGATTGTAAGTAAGATACTGCAAATTAAAAGAACAAAAATCTACTGACCAAGGAACGGCCCACAAGTGCTCCCGATGGAGGCAGCCTTTACGAAGTAACACCAGAGACACCCTTTCTCCCACTTTTCTAGTAATAAAGTGGGGGAATGTGCTTGAGTTGAAAAAGCCGTGGACCCAACTGCATCCTGAGTGTCTGAGCTGGGTGGAGAAGTCACCAGACCTCGCGGAGACGGGAGACAATAAGGAAGACAGCCTCAGGGGGAGCCTGTTCACATGCCCCTGCAGCGCAGATCCACAACCAGCTCTCTCCTCTCTGCTTTCTCTTGTTACAAGAACCTGTGAGTCACTCTACAGACTGGAGAGGGTTTGTGCACACCTTCTCATTTTGAGCTCAGGCCCATCATGCGGGAAGGGGGAGCCCTGTTTTCCTCATATTACAGGAGACTCGCAGGCAGGTCACAGGGGCCTTGGACGCTGCCCAGTCCAAAGCCCTCTGTCTACAGCTGTGGACACTGACGCTCAGAGAGGTAGAGTGGCTAGACCAACATGGACCCCCGTCGCGTCACTCCACCACTCTGTCAAACACACGGCATTGCCTCGTCTTAGCAACACTGCTGCAAGTGGCATGGAGGAGCCCGGGAGGAGGGCGTAAACGTCCGTCTTCCCTCTTCCCAGCCGTGTGGTCCTGGGCAACTGTAGTAGCTTCCTGTGCCTGCTGTAACAAATTACCACACACTTAATGGCTTAAAACCACCAAAATTTATTATCTACAGTTCTTGAGGTCAGAAGTCCAAGTGGGTCTCATTGGGCTAAAATCAAGGTGTCAGCAGGGCTGTCTTCTTTCTAGAGGCCCTAGGGGAAAATCCGTTTCCTGCCTTTCCATTCTAGAGGCCGCTGGCCTTCCTTGGCTTGTGGTCCCCTTCAAAGCCAGCAATGGCGGGTCATGTCTTTCTCACACTGCCATCTCTCTGGCTCTTTCCTGCCTCCCTCTCCCATGTTTCAAGGACTCTCGTGATTACACTGGGCCCACCCAGATAATCCAGGATCACTTCCTTATTAAAGTCAGCTGGTCAGCAACCTTACTTCCACCTGCAACCTTAACCCCCTCTTGCCATATAACATAACATATCTATGGGTCTTGGGGATGAGGACGTGGACACCTTTCCAGGGCCCTAACTCTGCCTACCGCTGAAGATCACTCATGCTCTCAGGGTCACACTGCCTGCCCTCCTCTCCGCACAGTAATTGCAGGGCCCAATGAGAAATGGCTAACAGCACCTTTGAAACATGTCACATGTTATAAAAATATAAAGGGTGCTTTATGAAAGCTGGTCAATAATAGCCAGTAATCCTAAACAAATGAGATGCTCACCAAAATCCAGGCCGTGGCCTCATGGTCAGAAGGGCCGCCTCGCACCTGGACACCTATATTGACGTGGTCCCCAGGCAGGTCCTCCAGCACCTGGGTGCCCTCGGGAGACTGTGTGACCTACGGAGGACAGAAAAACCAGGCGTGGTTTAGCAAAAGCATCTCTGCATGAGGACCACCCCACGGTAGCCTCGCTGTCTTCATCTTCCCACTGACTCAAAGGCTGACACCCTGCACCTCTTATTCCTATTAAAACGTCAGTCGCTTTTTAAACATGAATGTATGTGCAGACAGCACCCCCTGCTGGACAGCGAAGATGTGGACACCACCACTATCTCGCAGAAGCAGTTCAGAATGTCACGGCTCTTCTCAAGGCCCTTGAGACCAACGAGGGGACAACATATGCTGTGATCCAAGCCAGTCTCTCAAAAACTGATCTGCAGGAAGATCTAGTTTGGGAATAAGATTGGGTCATCTGCCACCAGCGAAGGCTTTCTATACCCCAGATCCAGTGAAGTAGGCTCTGACGTCATTCCTGCTGATCTAGGCTAGATAAACAGTAGAACTTTCCGGACAGCTAGTGGCTGAGGGAGCAAGTGACACAAGAAGGATGGCAACTCCCCTTCTCTGAGGAGAGCTCTAGGGTAAAAGTTTTGAGGCATAAACACGGAGGCAGAGGAGTGGTATATAAGGTATCTTTTTTAAATCCTCTGATCACATACAAAGGTATACACACAAACACACTTAAAAGAAAACACATTTACACCTCTCTCTCTCTCTCACTCACACACACACATACACACACACACACATGAGTTCTTGGATACAAATACCTTCCTCCACGTGATGACGGGCGTGGGCACAGCCCTCACCTCGCAGGACAGGTACACCTGTGCCCCGGTGACGTTGTGAACACTCCGAGGGGGAAGGACGACCACGGGAGCTGGGAGAAGATGACAAGGGAACATAGCCTTTGCCCTACCAGTTCCGGGCACCCACCTCGGAACCTCCGGGCCGGTGGAGGGCTTGCTGGGCCGGCTGACGAGAGGGGCGCGGGGCAGAGCTCTCCTCACCTGAAGAACACGCTCAGAATCGCACGAGAGAGCTCCTCAGACCCGGGAGGAGGCCGGCAGGGTCCACACCCACCACCTTTGTTCCACCAACAGGAAAGCAGGGGTCCAGAGAGGAAGGCGACTTCCCCAAGTCACCCAGCACGGCTGTGGCAGAGCTCCCACCTCGTCACGCTCCCCGCTGGGCCCCGGCCGCCATCTGCTCACAGCTCAACGACACACTGGCAGGCTCTGGGAGGGGCAGAGTCTCCTAACAGACGGGCTGTTCTCCTTCACTGGAGGGTGTCTCAGAGAACAATGCCAGCGGAACAGCTGCACTCAGCCTGGAGCCCAGACCCCAGGTCCCTTCCAGACGCCCATTTGCATAACGCAGACTCCACACAGGGCCTCCCCCACACCCCCCATCCCCAGGCGGGGAAGCTGGTGTAGGGACCGAGGAAGCCAAGCCTGGCTGCCCTTCCAGACAAGGAATGAGACAATGTGGTTCCAGGCTGCCAAACATTACAGAAAGGAGAGGGAGGGTGTGGCTCGCCGGGTGGGACCAGGGAGATGCTGGCATCTGAGATAGAAATTCTTAGCTGATACTCCACATCCTGCCCTCATCCCTGTGCCCAGCATCTGCTCTGCTCACACTAGGACTAAAAGAAGCCAGTCCAGCCCCCTTGGGCTTTGGGCCCTCCATCCAGCTCCTCAGCGTGCCTGCCCGCACTGTCCTGCCTTCCCTCTGCAGGAAATGCACCCCCAGCCCCACAGGTGCACGGCTCCCCACACCGCAAGGCCTAGAGGGGATGTGTCAGGGGGTCTGTGCCTCTCTGACCTGCTGAATCACAGCCTGCCTTGCAGTCCAGGTGCCTCCACGGGGTCTCAACTGCACTAGACGGCAAGCTCGGCCCACCCTTGCATCTGGCCCCACGGTGTTTGGGGCAAGGTGCAATGTGCAGGCCTGGCGAGGGAAACGCTCTCTGCTTGGTTTGCTCATCCGTAAGATGGGGAGAGTACCCCTGCTTCACAGGGCTGCCAAGCTGACCCTCCCACGCGGGGAGTGTGAAAAGTGATGGCTTAAGTGACCGCAGTACGCAAGGCGGGGTCAGGAGCAGGTCTGGTAAACAGATGACTGGATTAAGAAACACGTTCATCCTCTGGCCATCAAACTGCGGAGTCTAGGACTCCTGGGGCTTTGCCTGGGGACCCAAGGACAGCCCTGGAGAGGGAGAGGTTCCTCGCCCACCTGGGGAGGCTGCAATGAAAAAGGAGAACAAAGGGAGGGAGACAGAGGCAGGAGGCAGTGGGGGAGGGATGGGAGGGAAAGGGCGCAGAAATGGAGTGGTCTGGCCCCTCCAGACAGACTGGAAAGAGATCTGGTCGAGCCAGTGCCAAAAAGTCTCTGGGAAGCTGTCTTAGAGCTAGAGTCTCAAACTGGAGGGGCCCAACTCCACAAGACCTGACTGTGATGTGCTCATCTGGCCTCCACTGCACGCCTCCAGTGACTGAGAGCTCACTACCTATCGAGCCAAGCCCTTCCTTCCATCCTTGGAGGGCTCTGCTGGTGAAAAAGCTTGTCCTCATCTGGAGCTAAAACTCGCCTCCCTGTAATGCCTAGCTGTTGCCCCCAGGGCTGCCCTCTGGAGCCCACAGCCCCCTGAAGCCCTGATGGCCTCCAGGCGTTGAATACAGGCACTGCCCTCCCCACCCCCAGGCTGCTTTCGTCCCCTCAGCCTGATCAGCCCACTCCTTCAGTTGTGACCATGTGACTCCCTCTAAGCACCACCCTCATCCTGAGTGTGGCCAATGTCCCCCTGTGAGCCAAGGTCCTGGGCTTCTAACACTGCCTGACACGCCCCAGCCACCTGCCCGGCTGCCACAAAGAACCACACCACCCCTGCTCCCTGGCAGGAGCCCCATCTGCGACAGACAACAAAGAGAATCTAATTTACCCTCATCTTCCCGCCAGCATCGCCTCCCCCGGAGCCCAAACCAGTCCTCAAATGGCTCGCTGTGGGAACAATCAGAACCACATCTTATTCCAAAGCCCTCAACGGATTCCAAAAGGACACTCAATCAACGTGTTTTACTTTCGTTCATGTAAAGTCATAAATTTTAAATGAGATTTCATCAATCCCTTTCAGGCCTAAATGAATAAACCAGTAAATCACATTTCATCTTTCTCTCTCCTTACATTTCCCTCTCCCTCCCCTTCAATAACTACAATTAAGAAAGACTGCCTTGGAAATAGTCTTTGCTACTGATTTTGTGGCAGAAAATACGATTTATTTTACAAACGAGCCGCCTGCCTGCGATAATAAAGTGACATTCAAATTTTTATTTTAAATTGACATGCACTCCTGGTGTACAAGTCTAAGTTCTGACAAACGCAGACAGTCGTGTAACCACCACTTTGGTTACCCAAAGCAGAGAACAGTTATCCTAAAAAATTTCCTCACGCTGCTCTTCGTTACAGTAATCTGGTTTTAATTTTAACATACCTGATTTTAAATTTAAAATATTTTTATCCATATTAGCTCTTTATAAGCAGTGATCATCATCATAATAAAATAGTGGTAATAATGCCCCCAGCTAACACTGAGGGCTTGCTGGTGCTGGGCACTCTTCTTCTGCTTACAGGGATTAACCTGTTTGATCTTTCTGACAATCTCACCAGCTGCCAGCTGAGGAAGCTAGCCAGGGTCACCCAGCCTTAACTGGCAGGCGAGGCTATGAGCCCAGGGGTCTGGCTCCGAGCTCTGTCCTACACCATCTTGCCTTCTTCTTAGATGACACTTCCACGTACACACCCCTTTCATCCTCACACCAGCCCTGGAAAGGAGGTGTTTTTATCCCCATTTTACAGATGAGAAAACGAAGGCTCAGAGAGGCGAGGTGCCTGGAGGAGCAGGGACTCAAACCCAGGCACCCTGATTCCATTAATTCCATGCTGACTTTTAAAATGAAACATCTGTTATCTGTGTGGACTCCACTGCAGAATAAGAAAGAGTCCCTTAGGGATTGTGTGGGGGTCCCTGAGACCACCCCCAGGTTCAGTGATTCACCAGGAGGACTCAAGGACTCCACAGAGTTGTGCTCACAGCTGTGATTTATCACAGGGAAAGGAGACAGAGCAAACCAGCAAAGGAAAAGGCTCATGGGGTGAAGACCGGGGACACCAAGCATGGCTTCCAAGAGCCTCTCCCAGTGGAGTCACACATGACACGCTCAGTTGAATTGTGACAACATGTGTGAAATGCCTTCTACTGGGGAAGCTCACTGGACACTCAGTGCCCAGGATTTTTACTGGGAGCAGGTCACCTAGGCAGCCTCTGCCTACTCCACACCAAAATCCCAGGCTCCCGGAAGGAAAGCAGGTGTGAGCTGTCCTCTGCATGCTTGAGGCACGGCGGGCTGCGCTCATCAGTTCTGGGAATGGTGGGAACCCTCCCGAAATCCAAGTTCCCAGATGCCAAACAAGGGTCAACCTTGCCAGCAGGCCTCTCTAAGGATACCGTCTCAGGCCTGTGCTATTAACTCTTTTCTGCGCAGGAATGAAACCCTCCAAACATCACCCCCCCGCGCTTGTGAAGATAACATTAAATGGGCCATGTGTCCTTAACACTAGCAGGACATTCCCAGTCCTACTGTCCCCAAAGGATCATTCGAGTATGGCACTGGGGTGCTCAGCGTCACGGCTACCACAGGCAAGAGGAACCCAGGATCAAATCCTGTCTCTGCCACACCCCAGTGCTGTGACCTGGCCTCAGTTTCTTCTTCTTGAAAATGGGCACAGGAGTCCACTCCCCCCACCCCTCCCCACAGGCTGTTATGAGGAACAGTTACAAGACCCCTTGCAAACTGTAAAAGGCTTCCATGGAGAGACCTGAGGACTTGGCAGGTTGTGCAACCCCACAGCAGTCTCCTGGGAGGTGCCTTGCCTGCTCAAGACCCTCTACGGCCTCTGGTGAGCAGGCCTATCGGTGAGTCCTGCCCGGACGCTCCAGAGGCCACGGCCCAGGGCCCTCACTCTGGCGAGCTTAGGCCACAGCCTCCCACCTTATGTTGCCAGAGCAGCCACACCCCTGGAAGAGCCAGGGCTTTCCTTCTCCTGCCTTTGACAAGAGTAATGTGGCTTTCACGAGGGAAGATGCGGCTGGTCAGCCCAGTTTGTGAATGTGCCAGCTTCATCTCTCTAGCAATTCCTTGCTAAATACTTGTTTCCTTCTGCTGGTGCCAGCAACAGCCCTGGAAATGCCAGGATGGCACAAATCCACCCATCAGGTAACAGAATCGTCACCCAGGTGTGCAGCCACAGGGGCAGCACTGTGGGTGGGCGAAATAGTGCCAAGGGAAACTCAAGTGTGGTGTGGGGGTGGGTAGTCGCCAACCATTTCCTCCTCATCTGCAAATGAAGATAACGACTGGGGCCCCACATCCTCCGGGGTGAAGGGAGAAAATGGGTGTGACTGCATCATTAACCGCGTGGATCTGTACAAATGAAAGGGATCGATGTTATCATTACAGCGTGTGGCGATCTGTCCCCCCGCCCCGTCAACTAAGCATGTCCTTGATGGCTGGAAGGAAGATCTTCCCAAGCGCCTCTGAGATTTCTTTAAAGTTAATGGTGCTGGGGAAAGAAAGAATATCAAAACATCCCTCAGGACCCCATCTGCTCCTATGAAAAAGCGCACAACCAGAGAGTTTAACAATCAACGCACTGAACAGCCCTGATAATTTACGCTAATAGTCATGTTACGAAGTGGAACGAGGAACAGCTTAATCCCGCTCCCTGCAGCCTGCGCTGCACACCCCCTCCCTCGGCATGGAAGGCTGCTGAGCGCGAGGCCCCCTTCTTTGTCCCTCTCACAAAGTGGCACTCGCTGCCTCTCCTGGTTACCTGGTAACATGCGCCTCACACAGACTGAGATTTCTAAGTGGGGCCGGAATTTCAACCGAGGTGAATTTTCTAAGATTCAGGATTCAAGAGCTCATGGAAGCTTCCGGGGCTCAGTGCCCTGGTGGGCAATGGCACGGGACCCTGTTCCTATCTAATTTAGCATTCAAAACACGACATCAACCTGCTGTCTGCAGGATCCCAACCCCCTCCCAACGTTAGCAAATTGCATCTATAGAACAACATAGTTGTTTAAAGTAATGATAGCAAGAATAACATCAATAACAACAGTAATAATAATAATGCCATTCCATCTTACAGTCGAGAAATGGAACCAATAATTTAGTACAGAATGAAGCTTCACCCCTTAGCCTGGCACTCAAGACTTGCAATGACCCCACCCCAAACTACTCTGGGCCTCACCTCCTCCTCCAACCATCCCACTGGGCAGCTGTCCAGCAGGCCCACTGTCCACCGTGGCCACAGGACCCCCACCTCCGTGCCTTGTTCATGCTGTGTCTCCTCATCCTCCCCTTCTCAGCCCAGGAATTTTCTCCCCGTGCTTCCAGGCTCCTCTCAGATGCTTCCCCTTCTGTGAAGCTGTCCCTGTTCCTCTTAGGAGCAGTCACCCAGGGCACAACAGAGAAACCAGCAACAAGCCTTGGGGGAAAAACAGGAAGGTGGATCCAGACCAAGAAAGTTTCAAGGTTCAAGGGTAGCCAGTTTGCGGCACCTTCCTAATCAGATTGCCAGCGGGCTAGAGATGCATGGCCCCATCAGAAAAGAGCCAGGAAGACCCACACTAGAGGCCCAGCTCAGCTAGGAGCTAGCCATGGGGCTCCAGGGAATTCCCCTCTGCATGCCTCAGTTTTCCCTTCTATTAAATGGGAGTGGGACCTGGCCAGGGTAGTTGTAAAAATCAAGTAAGAACATGGGATGCAAAAGTGATTTCCAATAGTAAAGAATTATTCATATGTGGGAATATAGTGGGTCTTCAATAAACATGTGTTGATCAAAGGATTACTCTCATTATCAGGCATTTTGGGGCATTTCAGAACATAGGAGGAAAGGTCAGAATTTAAGCCTGAAAACTTTTCCAATGCTCCTCAGAGGCATGTCTAAGAATACTTCCCAGCCTGCTCAGAGCCTGATAAATATTTACGCAGACCTCCTTCCGTCACAGTCACGAGCTCACTTACTGAAGGAGGAGGTGAGGAGGCGAGGAGCGAAGCGGTGATTTTATTACCAATATTGAAGCCATCCGGCTGCTGCTCTGACTCAGTCTGTTCTCCTGCAACCAGGGTCCCTAGGGGCATTGTTAGAAAGTGCTCCCACTGTGTTCTCTGAACAAAGGATGGCTTCAGGGCAGCATGGAAGGAGGTGCCGCCTCCACCAGCTAGGAAAGACCCCCTGTCCACACTTTCATGCTTCACCAGGACACAAGGCAGGGGCCACACAGACATTTCAGGACAAAAAGTGACAGGAAAACTGCCCGGGTCTGTGGCGGATGACACAATCGCTGGTGGGGAAGAAGAGCTAAATTCCGGGGAGGCCTGATGCCTGTCACTAATGGAATCATTAAAAGCAGCTTCTGAATTGCCTCCGTTTGGCCCCGTGAACATCTTTACTCCCGAGTTCTGTGCCTGGGGGGCCTCAGAGCCCATAGATTGGAGTGGAGGGGCTGTCACATTTACTTGTCATTGGTAATTTTCAATGAATTAGGGGTATGGAGTTTCTGCCTGCCATCTGGCCGCATTCTGGTAACCACGGCAACCACCACCTGCCTGACTTAACACTATCAAGTCCTGTCCTGAAAGAGCACTGAACAGGGTGAGGGGGCCTGGGAGCTGGTCAGGCCTTACTGGTCACCCTGGACAAGTCCCCTGCCCCCTGGGTCTCAGTCTCCTCTGCAGCATAGCAGATTTAGTCTAAATGCCTTTAGGGTGGCCCTCTCAGGAACAGAATACCACTCCAGGGAGAAATCATCTGAGACCGTCAGCACTGGTCAGCTTCTGGGGACCTGGTCAGCACTTCTGTCTCCCCACATGGAGGGATAGTGTTACCTGTCTGCAAACAAAGAGAACCGCCTGTGAATAACTGCTGAGGAAAGCAGACTGTAAGAACAAGTGACAGGAACTAGAAGGAGGGAGACAGGACTGTTTAAACGCCTTAGGGCAGAAGCAAATGTTCAGAGTAGAAGGGACAGGGGGTGACACTGCCCAGAGGGGGAAGGGACCAGCCCAAGGTTGCTCAAGGAGCCAGCAGCAGCATGGGGAGCCCCAACCAGGAACAGCCAACAGTGACTCTCCTGTGCACCGGCACTGCCTCAGCCTCCTCAACGGGCCACACATTGTTTCATGTTTCCGGGAAGAGGAGCCTTCCCGCCCCATCTCCAACAACCTGTTGGGACTCCTGGACTTCAGTGCGTCTACCTGGAATGCCTGGGGGGAAATAAAACTAGAAACTTCCCAAGGTCTGGGAAGGGCCTCCCCCCACCCCCAAGCTTTCCTTGTTGGAGCTGAAGTCATTACACTGACGTAGGCACCTAGGTCTGGACTTGGTCTCAGGTCCAGGCCAGAGTCCCAAGAGGACTTCCTGGGGCTCTTGGGCCACAAGCTCCCTGACCCTAAACTCTCCAGTGCCTCCTCCAGGCCACATAGACAGGGGCAGTTCTCCAAAACCTAACTGGCCCGCAGGGCGCTTCGCTAGACATCCCTGTATTTATGTTCTGGTTATTTTCGTTTGATTTTGTAAAATTATGTAAAGAGGGTGGACAACAATGGTACCCACAGGCGACTTGACTGCGATGTTAATGAAGCTGAGTTGCTAGGTTCCCAGCGATGATTAATTTTCGATTTCTTTCTTTAAAGCAGGACCCTCCAAATTAAATAGGCCTTAGCCCCACAAAACCTGGGTCTGCCCCTGAGGGCACCATCATCTTTTCAGAGTCTAGGTCTCCAAAGGTCTTACCTGTCCCGGGCGGGAGCTCCCTCGCGCCCCTCAGCAGGGCCCCAGCCCTGGTGTTCTGGCCCGGCGACTAGGGCCTCCTGAGGTCTGGAGCTCCTCCTCCTCCGGCATCTTCACCTTCCCTCCCTTCCCATTCAAACAACTTCCCCCCGGGGTGCCACAACCTGGGGACTCGGACCCAGTGGGAATTACCACCCCCCCTCCCAGCCCCCAACTCCTAGTCTTGTGGAGGCAAACATGCCAGGCCGGCAAGTAACTGCATCAGCAAGTACTTAAGCACCAAAGCGGACAGCAGGCTCACCAACACTCCGACCAGCACGGTGGCTGGTGGCTCCATGAGCTTGGTGAGGGAGGGTGCAGGATGTGGATTCCTGCCCCAGTCTCCTTGAGCTCCTGGCCAGATAAGAAACCCTGCTCCCAATAGGAAAACTGAGGCCCAGGCAGCGCTGTTCTTCGCGGTGCAAGGGGGATCCTTCGCCCCACACCCCAAACAGTTGGGGTCCCTCTTTCTCCACCCGCTGCCGCACGTTGGGGCGGAAGCCAGACTCACCAAATTCGCAGGGGCCGTCGCGCGCCTTGTGCAGGTGGCCGGGGTGCGCGCGGGGCGCGTGCCGGGCGCGCAGGCGCAGCGCGCAGACACTGGGGTAGGAGCGGCCGTCGGAACCGCAGACG